ATATGCGGCAATTAATTTCTGAAATTACAATTTCATCCATCATTTAATGACAAAGGCTTCTGTATAATATAAGTAACACCGTGGCGCAAGGGATCAGTCTCCCCTTTCTATACTCTACCGAAAAGGACCGACAAGTTGGTCTACACATGTTCCTCTTTATCACTGTGCTGCGCATTTATACAGAAACGTTCATTAAAACGTGACTGATATGGAACCTCTATCCACAGATAGTTAGTAACCAGCAAATTTCTTATATTCCTCAAATTTTATTCTACTTTTGGAATGACAAGGCAAGAAGAAAGAGCAGATGAAACCCGCTGAATGATGGGACTGCATTATAAATTCTCATGAAAAGCTTCTGGCTCCAAGCGTATGAACCGCTGCGAACGACGAAAGGATTTTAACCTCAATTTATAAATGTTCTTGGTATCAACTGGTACAGTAGTACAGACTCTTATGTGCAAAACTATCAAAGTTCGCCAAGGAGTCAGATCAGCAGGATTGTGTGCAAGGGACTTTCTCATTATTCTCTGACCTTTGATATTCCAAAGTCGATGACAGAAATTGTATAACATCGATTTCAAGACGCTGCGGTAAATTAAGGAACAAACGACGGATGAAATGGGATGAAATAATATTCTATGTAACCATGGTCAATAATATGCTGTCTGCTGTCCAACTTCAAAGTTGAAGTGATTGAATTCAACCAGTTCTAACTGCTCCATATGTGTACCAGGGCAGCTACGTCAGAAAAACACCTTATACCTAGGTGAAAGATAAAAATCGAATTCCCATTGGAGAATTAACGTTTCATGCTTCAGCAATTACACAAACAAGTATCACCGCGTACATGAAATGGAAGCAGAAGACTAGGCTACGGCGCCTACGTAATGGCAAATACTGTCTGCCAAAACAAGGTACTCCTGGCTACTGACAGCCGAATGGAGATCAGCGACACATTAGAAACTTCATGAAATAAGTGTGAAGGAAATGTTAATCATGGAAGGAAGACCGACATGTTGCGGTTACAAACTTCCATCGAAACGGGATAACGCCTAGTGGCGACCCATCCTACTATGTAACATAAAGAACGTCACCACCACGGCAATCAAACATCGAACTAATTCATGCACATATCCTGATCAAGTAAGCTGTTCAGTGCTGTTTCTGAAAAGTTCTGGAAAATCAAGAGAAACATCCATTAATCTTATTTCATCTCGTATGTTTACTGTAAGACACCTGATGAACAGAACACTTGAAATGACGTGTTATCAACTGTGTCAGCTGTACAGTTGTCGTAGGATAAAATTTTTTAGAGATAACGTAATTCACAGCGCTATTGATATCATCAACTAGGGACAATAACCAAGTGAGCAACGATGTGAGATTTACACTATCATTACGAATAAGGCATTAAGATTTATGAGACAGCAACTGCATAGAAGATTTCGTGTGACGCCTTCACAGTGTGAACAAGATGATGAAACGAAAGGCTCACCTTGTAAGATTCTGATCGCAAGTGCATATCGTGAATTGCTCCTTAGATTTCCTGGTGCGGAAAAGAAGCAACTGCGAATTCAGGCCAACCTTAAAGAAAATCCAAGCTCTGAGGGTGAATTCAGAGTAGCAGTATGAAGAGTCGAACCGAAACGTAGTCTAGATCAGAGTAACGGCATGTGAACTCGGCGAGGTATTGTTTGCCGGACGCCTCGGTGGCAAACTTCTCCAACACGTACAGCGACAGGTTTGTGAGCAGCAGAAAACGTAGAGCAACATCGCCCAAGTGATGCCTGGTGTACACGCGGTACATCTGAAGAAAACAGACAGCTACTGAAACACAACATCGTGCTTAGTAACCGAAGTACCAACACGTACCACGCAAAAGTCCTCGTTTTGCTCACAAAATACATGAACGGCCAATTCGACGATTTCATTGCTTTCCAATCTACAAAGTGAGGTATGAAAAGCAGAAAAAATAAGGAGGATTCTTCATGAATATAAACGTCTCATTATCAAATTCATAAATAAGGAAAAACACACATGAAACAGTACATAGGTATATTTATATAACAACCGTTAGAACTAGCAGTGCTAAAGTATCGAACTGTTTTGGATAATATTGAAATAGCAACAGAAACACTCATATGGATAGGCGGCACCCGCCAGCAAAATTCGATCCGAAACTCCTTCATCAGAAGAGCACAGTGAGAATCCAGAATAACGGAAAAACTGTCTGGAAGCACACTTCAATGATTTAGCGGTCTAAAATGAAGACCAGAGGAATAGATGCTCGAAAAACTTACGCCAACGAATGAGACGACGGGAAAAAAAGAATTTCATATTATAAAGAATGATATGAATGACGTGAAATTAGACACGATCACCAAATCTACAATTACAGATCAGAATACATGAATGAGACTGATTAACATGACACAATTTTGTCAAAAAGAAAAGGCAAAGAAGAAATCTGAAAATAAGTCGCCCGAGAGGCAATCTGCAGTTCACTTTCGGAAGGCGAGCAGCTCAATCGAGGCAGTGTGGAACCGCACGCTCCTGTGCGAGATACCACGAAGAGTATGACCGTGCAGACCCGTAGACAAGTATGGTCGACATCCTTATTTACCTTAAACAGAGAATCAGAATATTTTTTGCCATGACAATCATTCTATGGACAGAGGATGAAGTTTATGTATGAATGAATTTAGAGACGCAGTGATGAGCAGTTTGGCTTTGCAGTTTAGAAGTGCGTGGTTCGCAGTGTCAACTGTTCTTACAAACTGTGATTTCTCTTCAACAAGGAATTCATCCTACAGTCCTTTTGTCAAGCAACTGACAAGTCAGTGACGGCAAACTGCCGGGTCAGCACGGGGCTATGGTGTGATCATGTCAAACATTAAGAGATCTATAGCCACGATATCGGATGCGTACTACTTTTTGCTTAGCTAGCCGTCACATAAACCCATCACACAGATGACTAAGAAAAAGTGCAAGATGTAAACCATAAATTTAAAAAAACGAACGAAAATAAGTTGCACGTACATCGTCAGTCCGTCCTCCAAAATGATCATTTTCGGTTCGGCGATATTGTCGTGATCATATGTGTTGATAACTGCGTTAATATCGATGGGGGTGCTTTTAAATTCAGGAGTAGAAACGGTAACGGTTTCGGAACTTTCACTTAAACTCTCTGAATGCGACGCCAGTAAGGCTGGCACTTTATTCAGACGGCGCCTTATCTGCTTTTCATAGTCGTTTTCGGCAACCCTGGCTTCATCGTCAGCCGATTTTACCAAAAAACCATCGCCGTTCGAGAGTTCATTTCCTCGGAGGTCTTGCTTAGGGCCGGTACCGTCAGATTCAGCGCTGCAGGTGCAGATGACGCTGTTTTCGGCGACATGGTCTGAACTTTCTAGTTTTGTGCTGCCAAAAGTTTCGAACTCCCTAAAATGATAACATTAAGCGAAGACCAGATGATGGAGGGAGCAATGACACATTGAAAATTCGCCCTAAAAAACGCGGGGCTGAATTTTTCATATTAAACGCTAGTCTTCATTGACAAGGAATTCACTCTGCCGCGCTTCGTGCAAAAAGTCGAGATAACCATGGTTAACTGAAGACCTAGGAACAAATGAGAACAAAATCTGGCTGCAGTCATATCAGAGTTATCGATTATTACGGTCATGCTGTTTGATGCGCGCGCTTTACGCCTGTAATGAGTCTTCATCAAGTTGATAGCACACTTTCTCAGCATAATGCATAATCATTGACCCACAGTTACACTGCTAAAAGAATGCGATCAATGTGCACCACCAATTAAAACTGTCCTATGCCACTTAAGCAAGATGTACGAAGCTGCGGCACAGATGCCCCGACGTTATACTTATAAAGGATATGCAGACATGCAGAAATCATGTATAAAGTTAGACGAAATCAAGAAACAGAACCGATAGCGATGGAACCGATCACGACAGTAAATTTATCGCCTGCTA